TAGTACATAAGTGTTCTGAGCACGTTTAAGGTAGGCTAGGCTGAGCTATGATGTTCGGCAGGTTATGCCTATTAAATGCATTTTCGAATAAGGATGTTTTCAACTTAAAGTGGGTTTATGAGGACATAGCCTCATTGTGAATCAAGGAGTATCTGTATTTTGTTATTTCCGTTTTATTTCCTTGAGGTTTTTTTTAATAGTAAGTATTTTTAATTTCCAGAAATAGAATTTTTAAAATTTCCTTTTTTTTAATTTTTAAAATTTTCTCCATGGGTGTTACTTTATTTTCTTTAATGTTTATTTATTTATTTATTTTGAGAGAGAGAGAGAGAGAGAGAGAGAGAGAGAGAGAGCCAGTAGGGGAAGGGCAGAGAGAGAGGATCCCAAGCAGGCTCCGTGCTGTCAGTGCAGAGCCCAATGCAGGGCTCGAACCCACAAACTGTGACATCATGACCTGAGGTGAAATCGAGAGTTGAGAGTCGGATGCTTAACTGACTGAGTCACTGAGTATTGCTTTAAATATTTTGAGGCCGTTTTGTTGGATGCATATATATTCATGACCGTAAGACCTTTTTTTATTAATTGTTCCTTTTGCCAGTGTATAATGTCCTTTGTGGTCATTTATAATGTTTTTTTTTTTTTACCTTATATTCCATTTATTTGATAATAAAAGCGCTACCCTGGATCTTGTTTGTATTTCGTTCATATTTTTTAGTTCCTTATTTTCATCTTTGTTTTACACTTCATTTTATTTTATTTTTTTTTATTTTATTTTTCAACGTTTATTTATTTTTGGGACAGAGAGAGACAGAGCATGAACGGGGGAGGGGCAGAGAGAGAGGGAGACACAGAATCGGAAACAGGCTCCAGGCTCTGAGCCATCAGCCCAGAGCCTGACGTGGGGCTCGAACTCACGGACCGCGAGATCGTGACCTGGCTGAAGTCGGACGCTTAACCGACTGCGCCACCCAGGCGCCCCAACACTTCATTTTAAATGGACCACTGTTTTTCCCCCACATATTGTATATAGTTTGGATGCAGTATTACTGTTACTTGAGTAGTGACTTTATACCCAATTATAATTACTTTTATTAATAAGACTTTTTTTTTAGCTTTGTCTAATGTTTTCTACGTGCCATTTATTTTTGCTGCTGCTGCTGCTGCTTCTTTTTTTAACCCTTTCCTTCCTTCCTTTGGCTAGATTGAATTTTCTTTGGCTAATTTAAAAGAAGATATTTTATATTATTCGTATAATTATTCTTACTTTTATCTTAACCTAAACTTAGCTTTCTCTAAGACTTACCAGTGACTTCATTGTTCCCCCAGTTACTCCCCACCTCATAACCATTAGACCTCTCCTGTCTCAGACTGCTGTTTTTCCAAATTTCTACCCTTCTGAGTTTCTCCAAGAGTTTCCCTGACTACTAGTGTTTGTTAATGGCCAGCACTCTGAGATGGGTATCAGTCCGCAGCCTGTGCAACTCCCCCAGCTTGTTTGAAACCAGAAGTGACTTGACTTGATCTTTAAGAAAGTTAATGCTTCTGGCAAAGTGAAGGGTAGATTTCATTGGGGTAACATCGGAGGCAGAGGTACCTCTAGGGGTCTTCTGCACTAGTGCAGAAGAGTTTATGATAGTGGAAGTTCCGTGGAAGGATCGATGTGTTTGTACTTGAGGCGTGTGGGAGAAAGAAGTCGATGGAGCTAAGCCTGAGTGGTAAATATGTTACATTTCTTTATTTTTCAAGTTCCAGTTACACAATTTCTTTTTTTTTTTAATGTTTATTTATTTTTGAGACAGAGAGAGACAGAGCATGAACGGGGGAGGGGCAGAGAGAGAGGGAGACCCAGAATCAGAGGCAGGCTCCAGGCTCTGAGCCATCAGCCCAGAGCCCGATGCGGGGCTCAAACTCACGGACCAGGAGATCGTGACCTGAGCTGAAGTCGGACGCTTAACCGACTGAGCCATCCAGGCGCCCCTTCAGTCACACGATTTCTTACTAGAGTTTTGCTGGCAGGGTTAAGTGAGGTAAGACATGTAGACTACATGACATATCCTGGTATAGAAATGATCATGTAAAAACTGGACGGCTGATTTCCACATTTCTGTCTCAATGGCTGTATGAAGGGGCGTAGGAAGGTGGCAGGTGCTCTAGAAGTGTTTTTGTTGTTTTTGCATTGGAGAGCAGGGGATAATATAATTCTTTTATTTGTATTTCTTGTCATTTTGAATTTGAATTGCCAATGAGACATCTAGGTAGCAGATAATTGGGTATATCCGTCTGGAGCTGATAGAAGACAGGGTTTTGAGAGTAGTTAGTAAAACTATAGGGGGCCTTCTAGCAAGACGTGACAGGGGGAGAAAGAGAAGAGATCCTTGGAAAAACATTTATAGAATGGATTTGGAGGAAGAAGATCCATCAGAGAAAATTAGGAGGCCTTGAATCTTTTTTTTTTTTCAAAGATTTATTTATTTTCGAGAGAGAGAGAGGAGCGGGGGGGGGGGGGGACAGAAGATCCAAAGTAGGCTCCACGCCATCAGCACAGAGCCCAGTGCTGGGCTCAGACTCTCCAGCCATGAGATCATAACCTGAGCCGAAGTCAGACGCTCAACTGACTGAGCCACCCAGGTGCCACTAGGAGGCCTGGATTTTTGTCCCATTTCTGACACTAACTAGTTTCCTTAACCTTTTAAGAAACAATCTTTTCAGGGGCTTCTCTCTCTCTCTCCCTCTCTCTCTCTCTCTCTCTTTTTGAGCTGTTCTCTCTCTCTTCCATTCTCTCCCCCCTCCCTCCCCCTTCCTCCCCCCTCCTCCTTCCTATGGTCTCTTCCTCCATTCTTCATTAATTTCACAAATATTTCATGAATACCTGCACAGAGCACAGAACCCCAGAGAAGGAGCACCTAAATCAGACTGGGGGAAAAGGGAGTCAGAGCAGGCTTTCAGAACACATGCCCTTCAAACTAAGCTTTTGAGAACGAGGAGTGATTTAGACAGCCTGTGCAAAGAGAGACCAGAAAAAAAGAATGCAGAATGGTGTATGGACAGACAGAAGGAGTAACAAGCAGATCAGTGAGTCAGGCCTGACAGCGCAGGAGGGGCCTTGTGTGCAAACACGGGACCCTGGATTTTATCCGGAATGTAATGCAAACCCCCAAATCCACTGGAGGACCAGAGACAGGGCTGTGAAAAGTCACATGTGTCGTTTAGAAACCTCATTTTTCCAGTGCTGTGCATGTGGCATGATAAGGGAGCAGGTGGTGGGCAGGGAGACCAAAGAGGAAACTGTTCTAGAAATTCAGGTGACAGAGGAATGTTTATTTAACGACCGTGGAGCACCTGCTCCATGCTAATCGCCAGCCTGTGTGCCGGGGATCCCGAGTGGGCCAGGACACTCAGGCCCCTTATTCTCAGGAAGCTTGTGGTGACCGTGGAGATGACAGGCGTGTAAGAGAAAGCAGATTGGAGGGATGTTAATGAGACAAGATCTAAGGACCTGAAGGTGAATCAGACCTTGGAGGTGAGTGAGAGGGCAGGGCCTTCTGGTTTGGAGAGCTGGGTGGACCGCGGCACCACCCGGTGCCCTGGGGAGCCCGGCAGAAGAGCTGAGTGGGGCTTCCAGGTGGAGGTGTCCAGCATGTGCTTGGAGAAACAGCTCTGGACCTCAGAAGGGGCCTCTGTGGCTTCTTTGTGTACTAGATGGAAGAATTGAACTAGTTGTTTCACTTACTTGATTCTCTTCCCTTCCATGACTGCATTTCAGCGTCTGCGTCTGACAGGTGTTTCACTAAAGACCAGACTTCCTTCTGCATCTCCGCAGAACCTCATACGGAGCTGGGCAAGATGGTCGAGTTTACTGATCGTTTTAGGTGGATCTGGAAGCCAGTGCTATCGATTTCATTACTCACTGCTGGTCCTTGCTTTCCCTTACCCTTCTGTCGCTACCTCGACTTTGGCTTGCTGTGTGAATTGCTGTGGGTAGTTGTGCCGTAGTCTGTCTATCACACGCACTCTGAGGGCTTTGGTCCACTCTGCGCATTTTATAGAGAGAAGACACCCGGAGGGTTTGTGAGGCTTCCAACGTGCTGGTGGAGCTAGGATTAGAGCTCTTAATTCACTGGTCCCTTTGGTACTGCCTTCCCTCCCCCTTGCAGAGTGAGTTCTTAGGTATATATTTGTGCAGGAGTTTGGAGATGACTAAGCCTGTGTATGTGGCTTTGAGACTTCATGTCAAGATTGCCAAGAAGCATTGGATTCCGTTAGCTGTGACGTAGGCAGGCGGCCGTCCTTGGTGCCACAAGTTGGATTGGGGCAGCTCTCTGCCCACACGCCCTTGTTTGGGGTGCCCTCAGGAGGCTGTCAGGAATCCTTTTACCCCAGGTGTAGAGTCCTACTGTGCTGTGACTTCAAAGCAAAAGCAAAAAGTGCAGAAATGACCTGCCGGAGTGTGAGAAGCACTTCTTGCTGGTTAAGAGTTTCAAGTGCGAGAGAAAGAGACGTGTTGAAAGGACATTTACTTTCATCAGCTCAGAACATCTGCTTTTTATTCTTTAAAAGGAAGCAACACCTCAAATTACAGCAGTCCCTAGGCAGGCAAGCACTTGAGATTTTGATCTGTGCAGATTCTTCGAGGGGGTGCCTCCCAGAGCTTTTAGGAGTGATTTGTAGCACTTGACAGATTTTGGAGGATGACAGACAGGTTTTGTGGGGAAGGGGAGAGGGCAGCAAAGGCAGGGGAGGAACCACTCTGTGAAACAGCAAATGAGCCTTTTCTCTCCTACCTGGGTAGAAGTAGAAGCTGTACTCAGCAGACCCCGGAGACCACATTAAAATCGGAAATGAAAACCAAACGCCGTTTTTTTTTTTTTTAATAATTATTATTTTTAATGCCGTGCCCACCTCCAGAGCATTCCTCCAGTGTGGGTTGCATCGTAATTTCCCCTTTTATATAGATTTCATTTTTTTTTTTTTTATTGTGCTGAAATATACATGGCATAAAACTCGGCCACGTTAACTGTTGCTAATGTGGGGTTCCGGGACATCAAAGCCATTCACAGTGGTGGATGTCACAGCTGTCCTACATTTGTTCTTTTTATTTTTTATTTACTTATTTTTCCCCTGGGTAATTATTTTATTTTTTTATGAATATAATTTATTGTCAAATTGGCTTACATACAACACCCAGTGCCCATCCCAACAAGTGCCCTCCTCAATGCCTGTCACCCATTTTCCCTCTGTTCTTTTTGATTTGAGGTGCAGGTTTCCCAAATTAAGCACCTTAGGAGGCAAAGAAGCATCACCCCTAACCCCAGAGCCCACCGTAACATTAGAATGGAGCTGGTAGGTGCCAAGGGTTTTTTCTTATTCACGTGCTTTTGTTTAAACCTAGCTGTGATACTGTTCTAGGAGGCTGTAACGTGAAATTCAGAGTTGTAAGGAAATTTGAAGATGGTTCACTCCATTCCCCTGTTTTTAGATTAAGAAATGAATAGCCCAGAGGGACAATGGCTTGCTTAGCTGGGTCCAGAGCCCAGGTGCTCTGTCCCCTGAGAGCACTGCCCTGGGCTAGTCGGTCTTTAGTTTCAAAATGTGGTATAAAAAATTCATTGGCGGTTTATTTTTAGGGTAATCTCTCTCTCTCTCTCTCTTTCTCTTTCTCTGTGTGGTTTCTGTGTCTGGATTTTTTTTTTTTTTTTAATGGCGTCTTCAAACAGGAATTTGTTTTAAGCAAGAAAATCACAGCCTTATTGTTTACCAGCCATGACCTTAGACGCTGACATTCACTCCTGTCCTGCCTGTGTTCGGATATCGCTATACCCAGGATCTTCCTTCTCCCCCACCCCCGTTTCTTCTGCTGATTGTAGTAAAACCAAAGTTTAAAGGTGATCCTTGTTTTTCCCCAGTTGGGCTTTTCCAGACAGTTGCTCTGGCTTCTTAAGATCTGTTTCCCACTTAGGGAGATTAGGTGAAAACTTGAGGAAGCAGAGCCTTGCAGTTAAAAACACAACGTCTGCTTACCACTGCACACCCTCGGGGCCGGCCTGCCTGTTCCGTCTCCTCTCCAGCCTCTCCTGCCTCCCAGGGCCCACCCGCAGGCAGTTCTCACCTCCTCCTGCCCACATCGGAGGTCTGTGGGAGGTGGTTAGGAAGCCGGAGGACTGACGGGGAGCTCGGGGGGAGCTGGGGTATATTGTTTGGGTCGGCCATGTAAGCCTTGTGCTGCTGTGTAAATGGCCACGATTTAGGCATTTTCTCGGGACTTCTGCTGGGCACCAGACAACCAGATCTCCTGGTAAGGTTAAACTTGGCCCTCCCCTCCCTCCCGCCCTCTTTGATCAGCCGGGAATGGCCCCGGGGAGGGAGGGCAGGAGGGAGGGGGAGGCCAGAGCACAGCGAGATGTGCACTCGGCAGAAACATAATAACCACACAGGCGGAACAGGGAGTGTTTTCTCAGTCTGTACCCCAGATACAGAGGAAGAAGTCCATTCCCGAATCCTTGCCCGAGCTCATTCTTAAAGGGTACCTTTAAGACACCTTCGCTGTCAAGAGCCTGCCCAGACCATCAGCTTGGCCGGCAGCCGCGGGGAAAGTCCGAGAAGACCCTGGGATTGGGAGAGAGAGGCTAAAAAGCATGCACTATCTGCCACGTGTGTTTCGTAAAAATGTAATTGAAGAAGACAAGAGTAAGCTCCCACTGCTGCCTAATAGCTTATTTTTTTTGACTGAGAAGAACGTTTCTTTTCATTCAGCAGATCATTTTAGGTGTCATTCAGTTTATTTTAAGCAGTGTGTTTCATCCTGAGCAGATTAAGAATTTTATTTTTTTTAAGCTCTGGACTGTGTTGCTTCGTACTGGGAAACTTTTTTTTTTTTTTTTTTTAACGCCGATGAACAAAATCTAGGCGGTCAGGTACTGAATTTTTGCATGTTTGTCTTCTAAGAGGCAACACAGTCGATTCTTCAAAATCATGTGAACCTGACATTTCACTTGGGGAAGTCGAAGGAAGTCGGCGAGGTCTGACGTTCGTTCATGAAAAGACGTGCCTCTTTTTCTCCTTATCACCTTTTAGTATCTGTCCTGCTGGCTGGCGGGCTGCGGTCTGGCTTAGCTCTCTCCCTGGAAGTCACATTGTGCTCCAGAACCCTGTTTACTGTGACCCACAAACAGTTCCCAGGCTTCGCAGCGAGGAGCCAGAGGTAAAGCCATCAAAAAGCAAACGGTGGTTCAGCCCTCCCCGAAATCCACCTGGAATGTGTCTCTGAATTCAGTTAGACCTGTTTGCTCTCCTTTTGCGTCCTCACTCGCTCCTAACTTGCAGCGCCCTGCTCCCCCTTTTTATTTTCACTTTTATCATTTGAGTAGTAACGGACGGGGAAGTAGTTACTCAATTTGTAAAACGTTGGGTGGTGAGGTCACAGATGCCGAGATTAGCCTGTAGTTTGTAACCGTTTCAGACAGACGACAGCAAGATCTTGCCTGTGTATTTCGGAGCTGTTTTCAGACGGCAGCAAGATCTTGGCCTGTGTATTTCGGAGCTGTTTTGTTTTCAGACGGCAGCAAGATCTTGGCCTGTGTATTTCGGAGCTGTTTTGTTGGTCTTTTAAACGTAGTGGTAACAGGGAAGAACAGAGAGGTTGCTTTCTGCCACGGTGCTGCTGAATCCTTGAACACAACCCATCAGCCAATCCAGATGCATTTCAGCAGGCACGGAATATTTCTTGTCTAGTGGTGAACTGAACATTGCATAGAAGAAAATAGAAAGGGGACTTTTTTTTTTTCTGGAAGTAAAGATCAGGTACTAATTTCTGGACAGACCTTCTGTTGCACAAGTTAAATTTTCATTCCTCTCCGGTTGTATTTTCTTGGTGTATTTGAGCTTTCCTGCCGTTTTTTTTTTTTTTTTTTTTTTTTAATTTGTTCGTTTAAAAAAAAAAGGCAGTATGGATCACTGTATTTTGTTTTATTAAGCTGGAAGGACAATCATAGAATCTGAATTTTAGAGTTGAAAGGGTTTTAATCTAGCTGAATGTTCTGATTTTACAGATGAGAAATCTGAGGCATAGTGAGGTTAAGTGACCAACCTTACAACACACAGCTTGTTTGTGTGAGGGCTGGGCTAAAAACCCAGCTCTCCAGAGACTCCTACTTTACTGTTTTTCTTCATTGGGCATAAGTTTTTAGCTCCAGCTAGGATCTTTTTCTGTTATTGGGATTATTTCTGAAATGGTTGGGTCTTGAAAATGTATTATTTCAAACCTCCCTCCATGAAATCTCATTACCACGTAACGTGGAGAGTGTATTTACACATGCCAAAACAGTCTTTAATGATTGTCAGTGTGCCCTATCTGGAAGTTTTAATCTTCTTTAGAACAAGGTTTATCTGTTTAAGAAAAGCCCAGGGGTGTGTAAAGTGTGGATGGAGAACAATGAAGCATTACCTCCCAGGTCTTGGGGGACAGAGTGGGAGAGGTGGAGGGAGGGGCGTCAAGCACGTTCTTACTCCCATGGTCCATGCAAGGTGCTCAAATAATTTATCAGTGGCACCCTTCTTCGCTGCAAGGCACTAATGACCGAGTGATGTGTGTAGACTTGGAGGATCTGGGCCCTGTTCAAATGAATCACGAACATAGTCCATTTCCAGTGCAGATGAAAAGTTAATCCCGTGGAGGCAGAAGTGGTTACTGTTTCCCCTGCGCCATTACCTCTGTGACATGGTCTCTCGCGGTGCCTTGGGGAGAGATGATCGGAAGGGGCAAACATTGTCTCCTGGTGCTCGTAGCCATAGGAAGTCATGAAGGGTAAGAAGTGTGTGCAGGGTGGGCAGTACGTGCTCAGGAAGGCACCTCCTTCTGTCCCCTGGCCAGAGCTCCCGGGGGCCCCGTGGGTCTCCTCCTAGTAGCTGGGGCACCGAGTGCCGGAGTGCCGTGGCTTTGGATTGGTGACAACAATACCCATTGCCTATAAGGACATGATTATTTATTTGGCCTTAGGTGTTACGAAGATGTTGTTTGATCTCCATTGGGCTTTGTTAGAAGTGTATTAGAAAGTCCCAGGGCAGAAATGTTTGGTCCCTTTGGTGGAGGTAGGTCACTTACTCACTACATGAGTACATTGAAAACATGTTTTTTTTTTTTTTAATGTTTATTTATTTTTGGGGGGGAGGGGCAGAGAGAGGGGGAGACACAGAACTGAAACAGGCTTCAGGCTCTGAGCTGTCAGCACAGAGCCCAGCATGGGGCCCGAACTCATGAGCCATGAGGTTGTGACCTGAGCCAAAGTCAGACACTCAACTGACTGAGCCACCCAGGTGCTCCCAAAACATTTGAGGATTAAGCCTAGTGAGAGTTTTGCATCTACTGTGAGAGATTTGGGGAGTTGGGGGCAACTACAGGGGGAAAAACATAGAAAAAAGGAATTTTTAAAAAGGAAAAAAATCAGGCTTAGCTCTTCAGAGACCACAAAAAAATTTAAAAGACTTAAGTGCAAAAAAAAAAAAAAAAAAAAAAAAGAGGGGGAAAAATGCTGTTAAATAGCCATATTCTAAATAGCACCACAGTAACTGGGATCTGAAGAGAATGGAAAGCAGGGAAGGTCTTAGGGAAGTCCAAGGGGAGATTGTAACAGTTTGGGAACATCCTTGTATGTGGAATTTTTTTGCCCTTAATATGTGATACTGTGTTAACAGTATGCTGAGGAATTTTCCCAATTAGCAATCCAAAACGGAATCACCTCACATACGTATATGCTGTCGGTGAGATCCAGTTAAAAGAAAACGTGTGGGTGGGTGGGTGGGTGGGTGCCTCCTTCTTCCCGCTCCCTCCTCGTCCTGCTGCGGGTGTCCACTTTAATACGATGCAAGTGTGGGTGCTATACAGGTGCCCCTGTGCAGTGTCTTAGAAAGGAGTCACCTAGGGGCGCCTGGGTGGCGCAGTCGGTTAAGCGTCCGGCTTCAGCCAGGTCACGATCTCGCAGTCCGTGAGTTCGAGCCCCGCGTCAGGCTCTGGGCTGATGGCTCAGAGCCTGGAGCCTGTTTCCGATTCTATGTCTCCCTCTCTCTGCCCCTCCCCTGTTCATGCTCTGTCTCTCTCTGTCCCAAAAATAAATAAATGTTGAAAAAAAAATTTTTTTTAAATAAAAAAAAAAAAAGAAAGGAGTCACCAAGTTCGGAATTTCCTTAAAACTCGTACTAACAGAGGTATCCTCTCCATACAGCAAAGATGTTAAAGAGACTTTAAGAGCTGAGAGTCTATTGCACTAACGATGTCCCTCGTCTCCCCTCTCTTAGCTTTTAGGGTCAAAACTACCTTTCCCTTGAATACGAGAAGGAGAGAAACCCCTTTTTCCACTATTCCTACGACAGAGGTTTCAAAACTCCCTTGGTTTACCTAAAACTAGGAGCTTCATGACAGGCAGACCTCTGACCGGTAGATCAGAAGGCAGATTTCTTTCTTTCATTCACGTGTTCCTTTCCACCAAAGAATGCAACACTATAATTCCTTTGAGTTCCTTAATGATTATTCACTTTTGTTCCCTCATGTTTCTCTAGTAGAGATTTAAATATTTAATTTTGTATACTCCTGGAATTAACTGCTTTCAGAGGGTATACGTAGTCAGCATATTTAAATGCATCCGGTGCGGACATTGTTAGAAGGAAGAAAAAAAAAAAAACCCAACCACCTCAACATTTTCAGGAAGAAATTATTGTAAAATGAGGTATAAGGTTTCCTAAATAGAGTACAGGATAGTGGACATTAATGTAACCTTTTTCTTGGAGATTTATTGTCATTTCTCTGAAATGATTGCACTGATGTAGTACGTTATGATGCCCCAGAAGCTTGTGATTCTTCCTGATGTCATGGCCTCTGTCCCATTCACTTTTCTTGGTTGCCGTGTCTTTAGAGCTCCTTTTATTTGCCTGTCTGATCTGTTGTAAACTTAAGGGAAACCAGAGAACCAAACTTATAAAATTACTAGCCTGGTTTGGGTACCTGGATTCTCACCTATTGCTTTCCCCACGTACCACCCTGGCCCATGGTGGTCACGGCCACGTTCTGAAGGCTCAGCCTCTGAAGGCTCAGCTGAAGGCTGAGCCAGGCAGGGAGGAATAGGATGTTATTATGTAAAGTAAGGGCTGCCAGTGTGCACGACGGTTTTTATTTAGTAACAGCCCAGATCGGCATTGGATAAAATAATAAAAATAAATATGATCCCTTCTGTGCTTTAAACTAATCTTGGTTCAGGTTGAATCTGTAACAAGATGGTGGTCTAGGACTTCAGGGTTTACTACGAG